GAGCCCCTGACATGTCAGGCACCATGCTAAAAGCTGCCAGTTTAAGGCCAGTGGTTGGTTGGTTTGGTTTGAGACAGAGTCTCACTCTGTCCTCCAGGCTGAAGTGCAGTGGCACAATCTCGGCTCACCACAACCTCCACCTCCCAGGTTCAAGCAATTCTCCTGCCTCAGCCTCCCAAGTAGCTGGGACTACAGGTGTCCACCACCACACCTGGCTGATTTTTGTATTTTTAGTAGAGACGGGGTTTCGCCATATTGGCCAGGCTGATCTTGAGCTCCTGACCTTGTGATCCGCCTCCCAGAGTGCTGGGATTACAGGCGTGAGTCACCGCGCCCGGCCAAAGGCCAGTGGTTTTATGAACACCATCCTATTTAATACAAGTGTGAGAACAGTAAAACAGCCCCTGCTTACTGATAGGGAAACTTATTCTCCGGTGGATTAACCCACTTACCCTTGCTGCTAGTGAGAGATGTAGGCAGGGCTCCAACCTCAGCCTGACTTCATGCTCCTGCTGCTGTCATCCAACAAAACTTCGGAGGTATAGGTCAACCCCCAACATCACTGGTTTTGAAACCAGTGGTCATACCTTATTTGGGAATGGTGTTTTAAAAAAAAAAAAAAAAGAGTAGTTTTTCTCTACACAAGAAATAGGAGCAAAGAAAGTCCTCGAGTGCCCTCTTGTGGAGAGTCACAGCCTGAGCCCACCACCCTGGCATTTTCTGAGCCTCCTCCCACCCAAAGTACAAGTTTTGAGGTTTTCCCTCCAGCTCTGTCCCCAAATCACGGCACATCTGTGTGAGTTTAGGGATGTGTGACTTTACAGGGATGCGTGACTGGCAAAGTGCGCCTGTAGCATTTTACTGTTCATTTGCCCTGGACAGGCTCTGAACCAGGAAAGGATATGCTGACTAGGGCTTGACTTTCAGGGAGGAACCAAGTGGCTGGAGTCTGGGTTCAAGTCCTGTCCTCACTGCTCATTGGCTGTGTAGGATGGGGCAGACACTTGATTCTTGAGCCTCAGTTTTCCCACCTGAAAATGGAAGACTAATACCTACCTCTCAGGGTGATTTGGGGATTAAAACGAGTAAAGCAATCCACACAGAGGGTCAGACCAGGGCCGGCACAGAGGAAGCGCTTGCTAAACCGTAGCTGATGTTATTACCTGTTTGAGCTGGGTAGGTAGTCAAGTGCCTTGCTAAGGACAGCTAGGCACAGGACCACAAGAATTGGTAGAATCTAAGGGAGAGTTGGGTGGCTGTGCTGAATGGCTTGCTAAAGGTGGACCTGGGGTGTGTCACTGGGTCAGGTCACTTAAAAACACTTGTCCCACCCATGGCAGCACTTAATGAACACAATTTTTGTTTTTAGAGATAGGGTCTTGCTCTGTCGCCCAGGCTGGAATACAGTGGGGCAATCATAGCCTCACTGTAGCCTCCAATTCCTAGGCTCAAGTGATCCTCCAGCCTCAGCCTCCCATGTAGCTAGGACTGAGCCACCATATCTGGCTAATTTATTTTTATTTTTGTAGAGACAGAGTCTTGCTATGTTGCCTAGACTGGTCAAACTCTGGGCCTCAAGTGGTCCCCCCACCTCACCCTCCCCAAATACTGGGATTATAGGCATAGGCTACCACACCTGGCTCACAAGTTCATCTGAATATATCTTGAACCTGTCTTGGGATGGCAGGCTGTTCTCCGGAATGACAGGGACATGGGCAAGGGGACAGAGGACAAAGAAAGACTGAATAATGGGCAGGGGTCAGGGAAGAAGGGACCCTGACTCCAGTTTACTGCTCAGCAAACTCACTTCCAAGTGAGACAGTGCCAGGATGCCTCACACCTTTGAGGGTCCATGCAGCATGCTGAGGTGGGCTTCCTTTTCCGGAGTATGGGACAGGAGCTAGGGACCTAACCCACCAGTGAAGAGGGAGGGCCAGGCCCAGCAGGGTAGTGGGCTGGGTCTCAGTGGCCCCCAGCTAGAGAGGTTATGGGTGGCCCATTCACAGGGCCTTCCTGAGGGGGTGAGGGCTGCCGAGAGCTCTCCCAGGGAGATCTAACCTCTGGGCCTAAGTTGTGGGTGATCAGGCCACGCAGTGGGCTCAGGTTTTGATGGACCCTCAGGAGTGGCAGGAGGAAGAGTGACTAAGAGTTTCTGCTTGGATTTCCCAGCTTGGGCTCCACCCATGGCCCTTGATGCTCCCCAGTTATGTGTCCTTAGATAAATCACTCTTAACCTCTTCAGCCCTCAGTTTGCTGAGCAGTAAACTAGAGTCAGGATGCATCTGTCTGCACAGTGATGCGGAGGAGGATTAAATTAGGTGATGTGTTGAGTGCTTAGCACAGTACCCCCACCACAGAAAACCCTATGAGAGCCTGAAGGGGAAGAAATTAAGACTTGGATGCAGGCCCAAGGAGTGAGGGATGGGGTGATGGTAGTGGTGCTGATGGGGTGGGTGCGGTGGAAATAGGACACAACCTGGTTATCACCACAGGGGCCTGGCAAAACTCACCTCCCTCCCAACCCCACACCCTGTCAGGCAGAGCTGAGATCCTCCAGTTGGCCCCTCGCCTCGTCCCGGCTGAGGAGGGTCTGCAGAGACAGAAGCCTAGGGGGCAGCATCAGGTCGCAGGGACCCAGGGACGGCGCCCCCTACAGTACTTTTCCTCTGTTCTTCTCCAAGGCTGCATTCGCGATTCTACGAGCTGGCCCCCAACCTCGTCCCAATGGACTACAGGAAGAGCCCCATCGTCCACGTGCCCATGAGCCTCATCATCCAGATGCCAGAGCTGCGGGTATGTGCAGGGCCTTGTTGCACATACCCCTGGTGGGCAGGGGGTATGCGCTGCAGGCAGAGGGTCTGCGCCTGTCCCCAGACTAGCAGCAGAGGCCCCCAGGTCTGGGCTGAACCCAGCTCCACCCTTTGTGTCTGCGTGTCTCTGAGCAGATCATAGAACCTCTCTGTGCCTCAGTTTCCTCATTTGCACTCTGAATAAATAAGCCATGTGGGCTCGGTAGGGGTGCTGTACATCGGTGGCCACTCATCTTCTTGTCCCTTTGTTAAGTGGCTCCAGACCTGCTACATTTGGCAGGCCTGCATCTGCTCCGTTAGATGGTGTTTCTGTCTTCCCTGTGCCTGGCCGTGGCTTCTCACTGAGGTCAGCATGGTGGTCATCCACAGCATCACTTCTCAGTGAGGAGTCGAGTCGGGATTCTGCTTTTTGAGCAAGCTCCCAGGAGAGACTGATGCTCCTGGTCCTCAGACCATGTATATTTGAGTGTTTCATTTCAGGAATTCCTTATCCATACTATGCAAAGTGAACTCCATATTGAGAAGGCATTTGGGGCACAACTCCCCATTACAGTGGGACTTCATCAGTAGCCCCTTGCCAGGCCTGGGATGTGTGGCTTGAAGGTGGGATCAGAGTGCCGTATGACATCCACTTGGGGCCTGTACTCTGGTTGTGACCCCAGTCCTGAGATTCAGTGGGCCCCAGTCTCGGCCATGGACAGGCACCCCGCCTGTCCCACAGGGGCTCGAGAGCAGGCTCAGAGGGTTGCTGGAGGGGGTGAGGCACTCATGAGTGGGACCCAAGTGGTCTGTCTCTGAACCTCCTGCACCGGCCTGGGCTGGGCACAGAATGGGGCTAGCCAAGTGCTAGCTTAGGTGGGATGGAAGGGCTCTGGACGAGTGATCTGAGGATCAGAGGAAGGCGTCCGTGTGCAGCTCCCTGAGGGAGGCGGCATCCAAGGTGGTCTGAGAGAATTCACAGGAGCAGAGCGATGACAGGCGTGGGCCTGAACTGGCTCTGTGACTCTTACTGCTTGTCTGGCCCCGTTATCTGACCCTACATTCACCTCCCACAATCTTGGCCTGACGCAGCCTGAGCTGAGGTCTGCCAGTGCCCTGTGCTGTCATCATCTTCTGCTGGACGTGCCCTACACATCCAGGCAGAGCCTGTGTGTGCTCTTCTGCATAACAGGAGGAACCCCTGTTTCCGCTTCAGATGAGGCAGTGCCTCTGGTGAGAACACATTGGCTGGGTTCAGCATTTTTTTTGTTGTTGTTGGAGAGGGGGTCTTGCTCTGTCACCCAGGCTGGGGTGCAGTGGGACAATTATAGCTCACTGAAGCCTCAAACTCCTGGGCTAAAGTGGTTCCCTCACCTCAGCCTCCCAAATAGCTGGGACTACAGGAGTGCACCACTATCCCTGGCTGTGCCCATCTTGATGATGTGACATGACCCAACAGAATGCTTCCCGAGCTCTTACATGTGCCGGGCCTGGTCTCAACACCTTACATACTTTAGCTCATTCAGTCCCCTCACGATTCACTTAAAAGGTGCTATTATGATTCCCTTTTTACAGATAGGGAAACAGAGGCTTCCGTCCATCCTCCAGGGTCACGTAGACTGTCGGCAGTCTGGCTGCTGGGCCCTCCCACCTACCCTGCACCCACAGTGATTGCTGTGTGTGTCGTGTGTTTTCTTCAGGAGAATCCCTTCAAAGAAAGGATTGTGGAGACGTTTTCCGAGGATGGTGAGGGGAACCTGACCTTCAACGACTTTGTGGACATGTTTTCCGTGCTCTGCGAGTCGGCTCCCCGAGAGCTCAAGGCAAACTATGCCTTCAAGATCTATGGTAACTAGGGCTGAAGGAGGGGGCCCTGAATGTGAGGGGGGCAGTATTTGGGGCCCTCGGGCTGTCTGATTACTACTGCCTCCTGCCCTGGGGACACCAAGGACAGTAAGACTGATCTGTCCTCTGAAGAGTGCCTGTCCAGTGGGCTGGCCAAGGGAGACATCAGTGCCTGAGAGACATCTGTGGGAGTCCTGAGAACAGAGGAGGGAGGCACTCGCCCACCCCAGGTTGGGTGGTGAGTATGAGAGGGGTCGCAAGCATGACCTGTAGGCAGAGGCAGCAGAGGCTTGGACTGGAGAAGCAGGGCGGGCAGGCCTGGCAGACGGCGCAGCCCGTGCAGACTCAGGGAAGCGCAGAGCTTGATAAGGAGGTGGAGGAACTTGGAAGGTGGTGGGGCGGGGGCGGTGTGAGTCGGAGAGGTGATTTGGGGCCAGGCTGTGAGAGCCAGCCAAGGAGTTTGGACCTAGTACTCAGGACACCAGGGCAACTGTAGGGTTTCCAGTGGGGAAGTGTAGCTCTCTTTTCTAGAAAGATCACTCAGCAGCTTTGAGGTGTAAAATGGAGGAGCTGGACAGGCTGCCTCCGCCATGGTGGTGAGGCCAGGCCTGCAGGGGGGCCTCTGGAGCCCCCTAACACTGCCAGAAGTAGGGCCACTGGGTCACACCGCCCAGCCCTGCCCGTGGGCCTGCTGCCTCACCAGCCACCAGGGGGCAGCAGGTACTCACGAGCCAAGGACTCGCTTCTCCCACAGCCACAGGGAGAAAACTTCACATCCACGACCTCACCCGCTGTGCGGGCCTAACAGACCCATGGGGACTTGTGTCAGATCCTCAGACAGACCTCAGTTAAGATGGCTAAGGCTCACGGAGGGGCTAGGACCCATCCTAGACCCAAAGAGTCAAGGTCAAACCTCCTGTCCTCAGCACCTTTGATCAGACGCTGGACCCCAAGGCAGCAGAGCCTTCCGGGAGCTGATGATTCCCTTTCTAGTTGTCGTGTTGAATTCGGAGGACTTCGGTTTCTGTCTGTACACCCACATTTTGCTTGCATGTCAGAAAGAAGATACCTGCTAGTCTACCCTCCACAAACTATGCCCACATGGCTCATATAAAAAGCTTCCCAGATTCCACCCAACATCAGCCCAGTCTCGAACCCCACAGCTTTGCTCCTGGGAAGGGCTGCTGTCTGCCCAAGACGGGAGTGCAGGTCGCATGGACCAGCGGGCACAGGAACATATAGAAGAACTGTGGCTCCCTTGCTGCCCTAGGCTGGGGGTGGAGTGGGGAAAGGCAGCCAGGGTGATTCTGGTGCTAGGGAGGCCTGGGGCCTCATGAGCAACAAGAATCATCTCACTTCTGGCCTCAGTTTACTCATATTAAATGGCCACAGGAATCCAGCCAACCAGCAAATCTTTGTAGAGATTGCTGTGTCCCATGTCAAGGGCAAAGATGAATCCTACCTGCCACTACCCTAGAGTTGTGCACAGGCCTGTGCAGAGACAGGGTAGAGTCACCCCTAAGAGCTTGGGCTGTAGGATCCAACAATGACCACGGATGTGACCTCAGGCAGGTGCTTCTCCTTTTCATCTCCCTGTTTCTTCATGTGTATAGTGGGGATTCAATTGTGCCTATCTCATAGGTTTGCTCTGAAAATTAAATGAGAAAGAGCATGTTATGCTCACATCTTGGGTCTTCATCGCTACTGTTCATGTCAGAGTTTGCCCAGTGGGCAGGAGAAGCTCATTTGTTGGGGAGAGGACCCTTATTGCTAGAAAGCTCTGCCACTGGGAGGTGATGTGTGAGCCAAAATTTGGACCAGGAGTTTGCTGGGAAGGGCAACCCAGGCAGAAGAAACAGCAGGTGTGCAGATCTGGTAGTTGGGCTGAAAATGGTAAGAAGACAGAGTTCACTTTGACGTGGCCACACGTGGCTTGGTCCTCTGAACCGTTCTGCTGTTCTTTGAGCAGTAGTGTTGCCTTTTGCTGGGTAGAATCAAACCATGTTCCCTGCTGTGTGCACAAAGGCTAGGCATGGGCCCTCTCTAAGGGCCCATGATTCCGAGTCTTCTGAGCCATCATGGCTCCTGGCCACACACCACTGAAGCAGTGTGGTGCAGCTGAGAAAACCTGGGTCTCAGACTCACACAGGCTCCAATCAGAATCCCTGCTCCATCTCCACGTGACTCTCTGACCTTGATTCAATCACATGGCCTTTCTGTTCCCTGGTTTCCTTAGCTCTGGAAGTCTAAAGGGAACACAGGGTCTGCTTTGGGCTAAAGCCAGGGAAGGCTATCCCACCTATGCCTGAAGTTCTCAGGAAACCTCAGATTTGGACTTTTGACCTGTTCCAGGATGTGGTTGGAAGTGGGGTTGTTGAGGTGGTGGATGTGGGTGTTTAAGCTATGCCTGGTGGGTGAGCCCTGTTGGGGGCAGGGATCCAGGATCTCAAGAATGTACATGGAGATGCTCTGGGGACATCAGAAGCTGGTGGAGGTAGTGTGACCAGCTGGGAGGAAGAGCTATGGTGTAGGGGTCCCTGGGTGCACCCAGCCCAGGCTTGAACATGTCCAACCCCCACCCGACAGACTTCAACACTGACAACTTCATCTGCAAGGAGGACCTGGAGCTGACGCTGGCCCGGCTCACAAAGTCGGAGCTGGATGAGGACGAGGTGGTGCTTGTGTGTGACAAGGTCATTGAGGAGGCCGACCTGGACGGTGATGGCAAGCTGGGTTTTGCTGACTTCGAGGACATGATCGCTAAGGCCCCTGACTTCCTCAGGTGCTGCCACTAGAGGGGCTAAGCTTGGCAGAACAGGGCAGGGGAGGGCAGGCCGGGATGCTGGGGCTGCAGCCCCTATCACTTGCTGTTTGTGAGCGTGGTGTGTGGCCAGGGAGCAGGAGGTCACAGTCAAGGCCCCCTTGCCCTTGATGTGTGACTGGCCCTTGTCCCCTGGAGGGCCAGACTCTGATATGAAGGTTGAAGACCCAGGGGCCCCTTCAGTGATAACTAGGGGCAGAGCTCCCTGGGCACCGCTGTCCCCCGCAAGCCTGCCTTCCCTTGGTATTGATGACTCGCATCCTGTCTGCAGGGGGTCCTAATGAGGCACCATCCAGCGTGGGGCTGGGGCCTGGTGTGCTTTTCCCTGAGGAGCCTTTACCTGCCCAAGCCAGGGCCTCTCACTCTCTCTTGCCCTCTCTTTCCAGCACTTTCCACATCCGGATCTGAGGACACGGCCAAGGCTGCAGGGGTCTGGAGTCCACCATCTTGCCCTGCGGTCACGTGGGCATGGCCTCCAAGCTCCCCAGGAAAGCAGTGGCAGCCTCTGGGGTTTACACCACGAATATTTCCTGTGGCCCTTTCAGCAAAAAAAACTAACCAGGAAGGGGGTGTGTGATGGTTAGGACCCTTCCCACAGCCCCGCTGTGGTCCAGCCCCAGGACCCATGGCCCCTCTCCAGGCCCTCCCCACCCTCAGTCCTCTTCCCATCCAGAAATGCTCCCCAGCTCCCAGAGGGAAAGGCAGATCAACCAACAGGACGTGGTGGGGTCTGACGTGTCCAAGTGCTGGCAGACACCCTGGTCACCCAGGACAGGGGGAAAAAAAAAAAAAAAAAGAGGTCAGGGTTTTAACGAGCTATGCAATTTTTTCCAAAACCCAAGGCTGGGCTGCCCCCCACGCCTGCCTATTCCCCTTCTCCCAGCCTCCTTCACAATGTGAAGTGTGGGAGCAGTGGGCCCAAGGGCTCTTGCCCCTGGCTCTGCCTCTGGGTCATGAGGACCACCCTGCCTGACCTCCCCAACACCGTGGGATCCTCACTGGTGTGTGCTGTCCACAGATTTGTGAACTCCTGGTAATAAAACACTTTTGCATCCCTGTGTTCTCCATTTTGCTGATGTTAGGAAATGCTTGAGGGTATCTTTGCTTCTGATCCTTGAAATCCCACCATGGGTGCCTCAGCTCTCAGCGTGAGGCAGTGCCTCCTGCTTTAGGCACTAGCTTTGATTTCAGCGTGTGTGCCTTCAGGAGGAAAACTCATCCAGGCCCCTAGCCTTCCGTGAATTCCCTGAGAATTCTGGTTAACATTCGGGAGCGCTGACCACACTTCAGGCACAGGGGCAGTTGCTTCTGTCTCAATCCTTGCAACCCCCAAGGAGAGAGGGACTCTTAGAGGCCTATATTTCAGAAGCTGCATAGCCGAGTGGTCACTAAGGGTAGACTTCCCACAAATGCGACCTGAGGCAGCTCTGCCCAGGGTCAGGGCAGGGAGGAGGGGCACCTATGGTGCTGTCTCGGGAGATGATCACTTCTGTTTTCTGCATCCTGGGCTGGGAGTAATGGGGAGCCGGGCAGCAAGCCAGCTGTCCACCCTTACAGAGAAGGGGACATGTGGATAGGAAAGGAAGTGACACACAAAACAGGAAGTTTCCTGAGAGACAGAGATCCAGGAAGAGCCAGCCTGACCTGAGGGTACAGCCGAAGTGAGCGGCCTGACTGCCCTCTGCCCATGCTGGTGCCTCCGGTGCCTGGGCAAGGCCCTGAGGGCTCTTTGGAGGGCCGGGCCACCAGGTTGGGTCTGGGTCTCATGGGTGGGGCTCACGAGCCACCTGTCAAAGTCAGGACTAACTGGAGCCACAGGGCAGGTGAGGGTGACCTGGTTATATAGAAATAGCCACCATGTGCCCACTGGCTGGCACCAGATACAGCCCAACAGTGCATCCCAGGCAGCCAGCTGGGCTTGCCCTACCAGACCACAGGCTTCTGCTCAGGCCCTGGCTGGCTGTGCAGCCCCAGGCAGGTTGCTGCTCCTCTGTGGGCCTCATTTCCTCATCTACAGCACAAAGGGGTTGGACTGGATGCCATGCCCTTAGGATCTGCCCAGCTTGCACAGCGAGGGTGGGATGGGGGCAGAAGACAGGAGCCAAGGGGCAGGTCCCCAGGAGCCCAGCTGCTTCCAGAGTCAGCCATCGCCTCTGAGGCTAGGCCTTCCCTGCTATTTCCTGGCTTCTTGCTCCAATCACCATGAGGCAGAAGCAGAGGATGTGGCTTCTGGCCCTCCCCTTTTCGCTGATGGGGCCACAAGGAGGGGAACTGGTTTTGTTCCCAATAGCAATTGCAGGATGTCACTTGGCCAGTTAGAAAGGTGTCTGTTCCAGTACACGGCCTGCCACACATTTGGTAAGTGCTCAGTAGTGGGAGGCAGGTTTAGCCAGTCCGCCTGGGCTTCAGCATGCTCATCTGGGAAATGGGGGTGCTGACCCCCACCTTTGGCCAGGCTTACTCCTCTCCAGCCTTGATTCCCTCCTCTGCATGGATGGGAGGCAGAAGGAAAGGAGGATATAGGCAGGAGCTGCAGGCAGCTGGAAGGTCCTCTTCTACCTGCTCTCGGGCAGGCACCTCGGCTGTCTTTGAGCCTAGTTCTGTAGCAGACTGGATGAGTCTGAAGTTTCAGACGGTGCCTTCAAGTGAGCTGAGGGCTTTGCGATAACCCCTGGCATGGCCTGGGTACCAGGAAACCCACTGGTGGGCTGCCAGATGCCAGGCCCTCAGAATTTGTGCCTCCTGTCGGTGAAGAAGAGCCTCCGAAGCTTATCAGGCTGCAAGGAAGGAGAAGATACTGGGGTCTGGGGTTGCTGGACAGGGAGGGAAAGACCCAGGCTCCGAGGACCCCTCATTGACCTTGGGTTGGGACCCCAAGCCCAAGAAATGAGGCCAAGTTGGAATTCTGATGGTTGATGCCACAGGCCTGTCCCAGTGCCTGAAATCCCACCTTTAGCTCTCCAATTCTGGATGCAGGGCTCACCCTCTTCTGGCTAAGGAGAGGAGGGGAAAGAGGAGTATAGGAAGGGTGGTGAGCCTCCCTGGTCTCCCTTGACCTGCAGCTGGCAGCCTCGGGATGCACTGGTGTTCGAGGTAGGGTGGGGTGAGGCTGCACCCAAGGCCTCAGGGATGGAAGAGGACATGGGACAGCTGCAGGGCGAAAGCAGACATGGGATATGGCCTCTGAGGTTTTCTGGACTGTCCACTGCCAGGTCTGTGCTCCCCGGAGGGTCAGGATCTGGAAGGCTGCTATCCACGGGGTGTGTGGGTACAGCCCTGCCCTGAGGGAGGAGTTGTCAGCACTTCCCGGAAAGATCTTTCCACTAGGAGTCTGGGCAGGAAGATCTTGTGCCTGAGATTAGAGGCCTTGCCCATGGGGAGGGGACTCCCAGGTTTCATTGTCTCCAGGCAAAGGCAGAGTATGGTTGGGATTGAGGGCTCCAGAGAGTTCATCTGCCTCCCTGGGAACCCTGGACAAGCCCCACTCCTGGCCACTACCCTCCACATTCCTGGTCCCCTCTCCTTGCTTATTAGACCCCTGCAGAAATTGAGAGGGAGGGGAAAGGACTCCTGGTCTGCTGCAGAGAAAGACCTTAGAAGGGCCTGGAAACCCCCATCTTACACCCAAATCTAGCAGCTGCCTCTCCCACCACCACCACCACCACCATCACAGAGAGCCTCAGAATAATAGCTCTGTTCATCAAGAGCCATCTCTGGGCTGTGTCCTGAGCAGGAGAGGATGTCTAGCATTATCCTCCAGGCACCTGCCTCTGGGTACAAGCAGAGGATCAGCCCATTTTACAGATGAGGAAATGGAGGTCCTGGGTAGGATTGCTAAGTAATAATACAGATGCCCAGCTAAATTTAAATTTCAGATAAACAAAGGAATAATTGTGGTATTTGAGACATACTTTAAAACGTTTTGTTTTTTGAAACAGGGTCTCACTTTGTCTCCCAGGCTGGAGTGCAGTGGCACAATCTTGACTGATTGCAGCCTTGACCTCCCAGGTTCAAGCGATCCTCCTGCCTCTACCCCCCAAGTAGCTGGGACTACAGGCCACCACGCCTGGCAATGTTTTGTATTTTTTCATAAAGATGGGGTTTCGCCATGTTGCCCAGGCTGGTCTCAAACTCCTGAGCTCAAGTGATCCACCTGCCTCCACCTCCCAAAAGGTTACGACTACAGACGTAAGCCACCATGCCTGGTCTAAAAGCTATCTGTTGTTTTTCCATAATTCCGGTGTAACTGGTTGCCCTGGAATTTGTCTTGCCCAAAGCTACAAGGCTAGGGAGTAGGGGCTAACGGGCCGTTCTCCTGCTCCCAGAGGCTCTGAGACCCCTGCAGAGGCTGAGAGGGAGGGGCCAGGAACCCTGATCTGCTGTAGAGAATGCTCTTAGAAGGGAAGCCCCTGTCTTACATCCAAATCTAGCAGCTGCCTCTCCCACAACCACCACTTCCAGGCAGATGATAGGGCTGGAAAATTCGGGCACTGCTTGGCAGTGGTGGTGACCTGCCCTGCCCATGCCTGGGGGCTGCAGGTCGGTGCTCTCTAAGGGCCGGGAGCCGACCCACCCCATTATGGAGCTCACCTTGTGTGTCCGTCCAGTCTCCTTGCTCTTGGTTGCTGGGATCTGCTCATAGGTGTTCCCAGCCTCTGGAAGCCCTGGGGTCCCTGAGATCCTCTTGTGGCCAGAGTCCATGGGCACCGACAGTTTGCTATATGTGGGACTGGTCCCAGGATGTGGGGCCCTGGCTGGGCCACCCCAGCACGCTGGGATCTGCTCATAGGTACTGCCTTCTTGGTCTGCTGCCTCCCTGGCCCCCTGCAGGAGGCCTTCTGTCCCAATGAACTCATAGAAATCTTCAGAGCTGCCCTGGGAGCAGAGCTGAGCCTCTGGGCTCAACTTTGGAAACTCCTGCCTCCAGGTAGCCCCCAGGGACCCCATGGCATCAGAACTGGAGGACAGGAGGAACCCCCATGAAGTGGGAGACTCTGTGGGCCCCTGGTCTGGGTTCACCCCAGAGAGGATGGGCACCAGGCCATCAGACCTGTTCTGTTCTACATCTGAGAGTCTCCTCTGGGCCTCGCTGCCTGGGGAACAGGACTGGCTGCCAGCTGGAACTGGGCCATGCCTGCTGGACCCCTCTGTGCCCAAGCCTAGCCGTGCCTGGTTTATCTTCCTCAGGTCTGCATAGATGATGTCACTGGGGCCTCCAAAAGACTCTTCTAGGAGGGAGGAACTCCTCTCAGGGAGTGGGGGCAATCTGATGGAAGCCTGGAGAGACAGGGACAAGAAAGTCTTAAGGGGCAGCCCATCACTAAGATGCCCTCCAGTAAAACCTCTTTCAGATAAGCCAAAGCCCCCTGTCTTGGCCGTAGTCTACCCACCTGTACATGTAAGGGTTGAATCCATGACACCCAGGGTCCCTTCCAGCTCTCATGCTCTAGGACTTGTTCTTTTTGTTGTTGTTTTTTGAGATGGAGTCTCACTCTGTCACCCAGGCTGGAGTGCAGTGGTGCAATCTTGGCTCACTGCAACCTCCGCCTCGTGGGTTCAAGTGATTCTCTGCCTCAGCCTCCCGAGTAGCTGGGATTATAGGCTCCGCCATCATGCCCGGCTAATTTTTGTATTTTTGTAGAGATGAGGTTTCCCCATGTTGGCCAGGCTGGTTTCAAACTCCCCACCTCAGATGATCCGCCTGTCTCGGCCTTCCAAAGTGCTGGGATTATAGGCCTGAGCCACCTCACCCGGCCTAGGACTCGTTCTTTATCTTGGCATTCAAGGCCTTGGGTCACTAGCTCTACCTCCCACTCAACTTCCCCCTCCCCTGCTCCTCCCACCTCCATTGTAGTCCATTGGTCCCTCAGAGCCCCCAGACCCACTCACTGCTGCATCTCCCTCCAGAATGCTCCATCTCTAAGTCCACCACTCATTTAACAAATATTTAGTGAGCACCAACTATGTGCCAGACACTGCCCAAAGACTTTGGTGAGCAAGACCAACTCTTGGGAGCTTATATTCTAATCTGGGAGATGGGCAGCCTACTGCTGTACTGTGTAGCACAATATGGTTTGATGTGCTACACGATGGGCGAATATATCACAAGACAATGGAGTCTGGGGGCGTGGTAAGTGCTACAAAGAATGAAGTAGGGTCATGGGCTAGAGAGAATGGCAGGTGGGAAAGGCAATATTTTCTGTCATGTAGGAGGGCCTCTCTGAGGAGGTGACATTTAAGAAGAGAATGGAATGCAGTTAGAGTGTGAGCCATGCAGATATCCTGTAGGAAGAGCATTTCAGGCAGACGGTACAGCAGTGCAGAGGCACTGAGGTGGGAGCAAGTCAGTATGTTCAAGGACGATCTAGATGGCCAAAGAAGCCAAAGAAAAGGTCTCACTGAAGCCTCCAGTGAGGAAGCAGAGGGAAGTAGGGCATCTGGTGAGGCTCTCGTGTGACCTGGTGAAACATTTAGCTTTTATTCTAAATATGAGGAGAAGCCATTAGCATGCTGTGATCTGATACAAAGAAAAATCTTTTGGCCAGGCGCAGTAGTTCATGCCTGTAATCCCAGCACTTTGGGAGGCCAAGGCAGGCAGATCACCTGAGATCAAGAGTTCAAGACCAGCCTGGCCAACAGAGCAAAACCCTGTCTCTACTAAAAATACCAAAAAATAAATGAATGAATGAATGAATTAATTAATTAATTAACTAACTAACAAACAAAAAAGTTGGCCGGGCGCAGTGGCTCATGCCTATAATCCCAGCACTTTGGGAGGCCAAGGCGGGTGGATCACGAGGTCATGAGATCAAGACCATCCTGGTCAACATGGTGAAACCCCGTCTCTACTAAAAATACAAAAATTAGCTGGGCATGGTGGTGCACGCCTGTAGTCCCAGCTACTTGGGAGGCTGAGGCAGGAGAATTGCTTGAACCCAGGAGGCGGAGGTTGTGGTGAGCTGAGATTGAGCCATTGCACTCCAGCCTGGGTAACAAGAGCGAAACTCTGTCTCAAAAAAAAAAAGTTGGGCATGGTGGTGTGCACCTATAATCCCAGCTACTAGGAAGGCTGAGGCAGAAGAATTGCTTGAACTCGGGAGGCAATGGAGATTGCAGTGAGCTGAGATGGTGCCACTGCACTTCAGCCTGGGCAACAGAGCGAGATTCTGTCAAAAAATAAAAATAAAAAAGTCCAGGCATGGTGGCTAATGCCTGTAATTCTAGCACTTTGGCCAAGGCAGGTGGATCACTTGAGGTCAGGAATTCAAGACCAGCCTGGCCAGTATGTTGAAACCCCTCTCTACTAAAAATACAAAAATTAGCCCGGTGTGGTAGCAGGCTCCTGTAATCCCAGCTGCTTGGGAGGCTGAGGCAAGAAAAGTGCTCGAACCTGGGAGGCGGCAGAGATTGCAGTGAGCCACGATAGCGCCATTGCACTCCAGCCTGGGTGTCTCAGCGAGACTCGGTCTCAAAAAAAAAAAGAAAGCTCTTTCTGAGTCTCTCTCATGGAGTGCCATGGAGAAGAATAAAGTACTGACTCACAGGCACCCCATGCTACAGCTTCCTAAGGGGTGTTCAGGCATTTCATATCCGTTTTCTCATTCAAGCTTCACAAGAACCGCAGGCGTGGTAAACCGAGGCTCAGAGAAGTTATGTGACTTGCCTAAAGCTAGAAAATGGCCAAGCCGAGGCTTGAACCAAATCTAGCTGGCCAGAGGCAGGCCATGGCACGGGTGAACGGGGTGATTCCAAGCTAGGTCTGCACCTCTCTGGGCCTGTCTCATCCCCCACAGCCGAGGGAGTGGTTGGCCTGGCCTCAGGGTCTGACTGGGAACTCCGCACTCACACCCCTGGTCTGGTAACCTGACTCTACGTGGCCCAGAATGCTCCTTACCTCCATGCTTTCCTCCTGGGAGAGGTTCTGGGGACTCACATCCAGGCTCTTCTGTGCATGGAGGAAGGAGACCTGGGGCTTTGGAGAAGAGCGGGGGCTGGCAGCCTTGTCTGGGACCACTGTGGGGGATGCCATGGCAGGCGGGTTTTCCGGGTCCACGATGGTCTGGTGGAGGCCCCGGGTGATGGCATCATACAGAGTATTGTCCTCTGGCTGGGGGGATGTAGATACAGCAAGCAGGTGGTCACACACGCCCAGCCAGTCTCCAGCTGCCTGCCTGACACTGCTGGTAAGGGACTGAAACATTCCCACCAGGTCCCTGACCTCAGGTAAGACATCACCACAGTCTCCCTTTGTCCAGTAGGGATCATGACCCCACACGGAGTGCCCCTGGATGATAGTAAATAGGGAGGGCTTGAAAAGGGGTAGCCTGAGTGATGGACACCCCAGGCCTGGGATCCCTGCCCCACCACCCTCATCCTGGGTAAGTGGGGCACCTACCCGGGGGCAGGCAGCAGTCAGCGACTCTCCGAAGGGCTCAAGCTGTGTCTCCTGGTAATGGCGCACAAGCTCAGCCAGGGTGCTGTAGCTCTGGGTGTCTCCTGAGATGATGTAACGCCGGTTTCGAAGCTGGCTGATGACAAAATGCCTGCAGCGATCGTTGCCCCTGCAACACAACTGCCTGTGGTCTGGGGCTGCTGATCACAGGCAGCCCAGCCTTGGCCCAAGGTCTGAGCTCTGTGCCTGGGTGCAGGAGATGAGTCCCAGCTCTTGATCCAGAACAGATCCACCCGACCTGGGGCCACTGTGCCCCACTTGGAGCCATGGCGTGTGTTCATCAGGAAACTAGGGAGAGGTTTTCAAACCATGGGGCCCTGGGACCCTGGGAAGTACCTAAGGCTGTTCTGGTGGAGTCAGGGAGGGCAGGGCTGCGACTGGGGTGAGGCAAGTGAGGCACTCGTCTTGGGTGCGAAATTTAAAAGGGTGCCAAAAAACTCAATCAAGAAAACTGATAACGCAATATTTTAGAAAATCAAAATACAGGGAAAAAAATCCACAATGTACAAAACACCAAAGTTTTAAATAAAGACAAGATCTAACTCTGCACCTGTACAACAACCTCACTCTACCTACTCCCCACCCTGCTGCAACGATGGAGTTCCCACCACCTCTGCAGCCTGTAAAGTCCCACCCTAAAATCCCACCCTCTTCACCTTCCTTTTTCCTAGAAGAATAACTTCTAAACAATGATGTGCATACATCACAAAAGTGCAGCTTGATGGATTTCCACATAGAAGCCCTCCCATGTAACTGCCACTCAGATCAAGATACAAAACCTTTCCAGCCCCCAAGACCTTCTTGTGCTCACATCCTGTCAATGTCCCCTGAAGGTAGCCACTATTCTGACGCCTATCAGTGTAGGTTAGTCTTGCCCATCAGAGAACTTCCGTAATACTTCTCTTCTGTGTCTAGCACTCAACGTTATATATTGGAGAGTGATCCATGTCCATGTGGGATTCATTTCTTTTTTTTTTCTTGTTTATATGTCATATTCCAGTTAATGAAAAATCCACCATGTACCTATTCTGTTGATAGACATTTAGGTTGTTCCCAGATTTGGGCTGTTATAAATAAAGCTGCTGTGAGCATTTTTGTACATATCTTTTGGTGAATATGTACTCGGTTGCCTGTAATCCCACGGGAGGCTGGGGTAAGAGAATCGCTTGAACCCAGGAGGCGGAGGTTGCAGTGAGCTGAGATCATGCCATTGCACTCCAGCTGGGTAGCAAGAGTGAAACTCGTCTCATAAATAAAATAAAATAATTGCAGTGTATGAGAGTTCCAGTTGCTCCACATATTCTGTCTTTCCACTATTGCCATCCATTGTTGCTTTAATTTGCATTTCCCTGATAGCTAATGATGCTGAACACCATTTCATATGCTTATGGGCCTTCTAGGTTTTGGTTTTTCTTTTTGATAAAGTGCCTGCCTGCTCAGGTCTTTTGCTTTTATTTATTGTCTTATTTATTTGTAGGAGTTCTTTATATATTCTGGATTTGAGTCCTTTGTTAGATACATGCATTCTAATAGATAACATCTCCAAGACTGCACCCTGACCTTTTTCTTCTCTTAATAATGTCTTTTAATTATAAAGTTTCTTAATTTTGGCCAGGCGCAGTGGCTCACACCTGTAATCTCAGCACTTTGGGAGGCCGATGCAGGTGGATCACCCGAGGTCAGGAGATTGAGACCAGCTTGACCAGTATGGTGAAACCCTATCTCTACTAAAAGTACAAAAATTAGCCAGGCGTGTTGACATGCGCCTGTAGTCCCAGCAGTGAGCCGAGATCGCGACTGCACTCCAGCCTGGGCGAGAGAGCAAGACTCCATCTCAAAAAAAAAGAAAAACAAGTAAATAAATATTCTTAGTTTTAGGAAATCAAATTAATCACTCTTTTAAGATGAGTGCCTATTTGTGTCCTATTTAAAAAATCTTGGCCTCTCGTTTTCAAAGACATTTTCATTTACCTATGGCAATGTTTTCCTGTTTGCTTCTAGAAATAGTATTGTTTTGCTTTTCTCTCTTGGATCTACAATCCATCTGGAATTAATTAACTTTCATGTATGGTTTGAGGTAGCAGTAATTGTTTTCCATTTAGATATCCAATTGCTCCTGCACCAATTATTGAAAAAACAAGCCTTTCTTCCACGGAATTGCAGTGACGCCTCTGTTGTAAATCTGGTAACCAAACATTTGGGACTGTTTTGGGACTCTATTCTGTTTCATTTTTCTTTTATATGCCTTTGAGCGGAGTTAGTATTCTGCCTAAGATCTCATCTGGGAAGAAACAAAACGGAAGAAAAAAAATCCCTAAAGCTCAAAAGATTTTTGAAAACTACCGAGCTAGTATATTTCAAAATGCGTAGCACAGTGTCAGAATAAAAATATTTTAACAATGAATGGCTAACATTTATTTAAAGTCCTTACTATGTTTTAGGCATTGTGCCAAGCACTTTTAAATGTATCAACTGATTGCACACTTTCATCCATCCTAGGAAGCAGGTACTATCATATTCCCATTTTACAGATGAGGAAACGGGGGAACAGAGTAGCAAAGCAACTTGCTCAAGGTCAGGGTTTGAACGGGGGCCTTCTGAATATGTGACAATTTTGAATCCGAATCTGAAGCCTTTTAAGTTGACCCTAGAGTGCTGGCCCACCTTCCTACTTAGGGAAGCCGCCTTCTCTCCTCTGTCTCCCTCCTCCCGACCGACGTACGCGTACTCTTGCGACAAGATCCGACATCACCATCTCTGCCTTTGTCCTGGCTGCCTTGTCTTAGTTTCTCTATTCCCATTGTCCTTCCCTAGCCCAGACCTCATTATCTCACATCCAGGCAATCCCAGGGGTCCCCAGTGCCCCCCACACCTCCAGCTCTGACTTCTAGTCCTCTCTCCACAGGCTGTGTAAAGGACCTGTGCAAATATGTTGAACCAGATCATCCTTCATGGTCTACAGACAACCAGGCATCTAAGTCCTTTCTAAGTTTCTCCCACCCTTCCCTCCAGGCATTCCTTCAAAGGAACCAAGTCTTCCGCTGCACCCAGCAACCTGCAGCTCCCCCAGCACCCTTGTCTTTCATCCTCCGTACTTTCGCACATGCTGTTCCATCTACCAGAGATGCCCCCCTAAACCGCAACAACGCCCTCCCTTCTGCCTTGCAACTTGTATTCTTCCTTCTATCCTGGGCTCAAAGTTCACCTCTGTGAAGCCTCTCCCCTGACCCCCAGTCACCTCATTTGAAGGTCAAGGCTTCATCCCTAGCATATGGCCAGCACTGCTCAGGAAATGTCTGCTGAGCATGTGATGGATGAATGAGAGAGTCAGGAGTCAGGACCCAGGGAAAGCTAGTCAGTCTGGGCCGGTGGGTCCTCTGCACTAATCTGCAAGGCTAGGTTATGGTAGGCTGAGCTCGCTTGCCCTGAGGGCTTCCCCTCTTACCTGTAGGACAAGATGTAGCCAGTGGCTCGATCACTGAGGCGGATAAGGAAGGACCCAACAGCTTTGTCCCTGAGTAGTTGCTCCGTCTGCCTGGGCAGAGGACATGCCATCAGCTGGGGTCTGTGTCCTAACAACAGCAGGAGCAGCCTGACTTAGGCCTCTCTTGGAATCCCTGCTGGCCATGCCTTTGGGTCCCAGACCTCCAACCCTTTATAGGGGAGCCACTCAGACCTTTGGAGGGGTCTGTGGCCCATCAGGGCTCAGTATGTGGTCTATCTGAGCCCAATTCATTAAGTTCAAGACTATCTGGGGCTGGGTCAGGGTCTGAAGCTATATGCAGCCCCCAGTCCCCCGGCAGCCTCACTAGCAGGCACCCTGGGTGCTGACCCTTGCCACTCACTCTCCTCCTGGATGGCTGTGCAGCAAGAATAAATCCACACAGCTGGAGATGTTGAGGTTTAGTGGGGAGTCCCTCCCTCAGAACCACTGTGTATAGTTGTGCAGATGTGCACTCCACATGAGCTGCTGCAGGGAGAAGATGCTGCTATGTCTGAAGCAGCTAAAATGGACTCATTCCCCTTCCTGCCCCCTTCAATCCCAGGCAGCTACAGAGATTTTCCACATGGTGCCAAATATTTTGGAGGCATGGTGAAAAAATTCAAGCCGTCTTCTGGTTTGGCAGTACACAGACCAGATACGTATTCCCTCACCCAACTACTCACCAAATACTGAGTGCTTGCTCTATGCAGCTACATAATTTGCAGGGCCAGGTGCTAAATGAAAACATGGGGCCCCTGGTTCAAAATGATTTAGAATTTCAAGAGAGCGACAGAAGAGCATTAAACCAAATGTGGAGCCCTGGTGACCCTATGCTGGTGTGCAAGTCAGTGCCCATAAAGCTGGCCCTGGGTGTGTGCAGGGGCTGTGCCTGCCAGGACCTAAGGACTGGCTGGATTTGTCATTCCTTCATCAGATGTTTTGGCTGCTTGGAGATCCAGCCCAAATAGAAAGCCAAACCCATATCTTGGCCTTTATACCTAGGGCAACTGTGCATCCAGGTTTGCCTGGGATGGCCCCGTTTACAACGGTTCCCCTAGTTTAGTTACTAATAGTGTTCTAGTTTGGATGATAAATGATAGGGTCCCCTAGTTACTCATTAAGTCAGGGCCTGACCCTCTTTCTGTCCTCTGGCAGCCTGGCAGCCCCAGCCATTCTCCACTTGTGCTGAAGTAGAGGCTGTTGCTCTCCCCCACTCTGCCCACAGAAGCCACCACCAGAGGCTGTGGTGCCTCTCAGTCTGTTCCCCTGCCCACCACCTCCCAGGGCCCCTGCCTAGCCCAGGGAAAGGGCAGGAACCAGTCTGATCCAGAGTTCCCAGACCATTTTCGCAGCCCCGAGGAGCTGTAGGCTATGGGGACCTGTGGGTAGAAAGCAGCCTTACTTGCGGGTGATGAATCCATGAAACCAAGGAGGCAGGGCACCGTTCTGCAGAATGAAGGGGGCCTGTGTCTCCATGAACCACTTCAGGGCAAGCTCCTGGAGCTCAGCCAGGGCCTGGCTGCCCCCTGCCCCGTTGGGATGTCTCCCCAGGCTGAGCTGCTTTAGACTGTCCTCCATGCTGGCGAGCCCTGGAGTGGAAGCAGAGCTCAGCCAGCACACATGCCTCTATATCTGCGTGTGCTCTGGCTCATTTGCCTGAGTGCATGCCCTACCCAAGGGCCCATATCACACAGCAACCCTATTGTCACCTCTAGGCTGGTGGCTGTTTCTCCCCTTTGATGCTTTGGGGTGGGGCATCTTGGCTGGCTGCAGACATGGGGGAACAGTCACCATAGCAGCCTGAGACGGGTAGGGTAGGCCCTCTGTGGCTTCCTGGCCAGCAGATGAGCTACCCCACTAGGTTTGGCCTTGTTTCCCCCAATCTCTGGTCTTTGTCACAGCTAAAGATCGGACCCTGGCAAAAGTCCACAGCACTGCCCCTGTGAGCAAAGCAGTGGATTTAGGTATCCTTCCTCAGTGGAGGCTCTTTTTATTTTGGTGGAGAAGTTCTGTGCCAAGTCCTCCTTCCACTCGTATTGAGTTCCTACTGTGTGCCACGTAAATCTGGGCCCTGGGAATAAAGCAGTAAATGAAACAGCACTTTGCCCTCATGGCACACACATTCTAGTAGTGGGAGACAAATAAACATGTATAGAATATAGAGCCAAATGGAATAAGCATTTGGCTTAGAGACAAAGGCAGAAGAACAAAGAGAGCACATGACCACATTATGCAGATAGAGAGTCAGGGGTCGGGGTCAGCCTTGCCAGGAGGTGACACTGAAACAGTGAAGGAGGAAGCCAAGCAGGTGCCTGGAGGGGTGGACTGTGTCATCAGCAGGGGGAAAGCACATGCAAAGACGAGGAGGTGGGACTTTGTTGCAGATTTTGAAGAACAACCAGGAGCTCATGTCGTTGCAACAGAGAGGGACTTTGGTGTAGCTGGGTCCCCTGAAAGGGCAGGGATAGGCCTCTGATAGGAAACTTTGGAGCAGTTAGGGCAATGAGACCGTGTGTTCACAGAAACATCCCTGACTTTCTAATGTGTTTGCGAGTTTCCCAGCAGAAGTCTAGGCTGGGTGGATGGTGAGGCAGCAGATGGTGCAGTCAGCCTCAAGGATCTGGGTAAGACTTCCACTTCCACCATACACTGACGTGAGGGTCTCAAGAAAGTTACTCAAATGTTGTAGACGACTCAATTTCCTCAGTTGTAAAATGGGCATAAGAAAAAGCTATTTTCTAGACTCTAGGGTCATTATGAGGACTGAGATGGCATAGTGGTTAATAATGAAGGTGCATTTATTTAAGTTCAAAAATAGGATGCAGGTACCGTGACAATATGACTGAAGTGATTTGTTGTCATTTCCCCTGCTTAAAGCACTTGATACATAACTATCTCTCACTCCATTCCACGGTAAGACAGAAATGCTCAGTTTCATTTTTCCTTGAGGCCAGACCTGTAATCCCAGCACTTTGGGAGGCTCAGGTGGGAGGATCACTTGAGGCCAGGAGTTCATGACCAGCCTGGGCAACATAGCAAGACCCTGTCTCTAAAAAGAAAAAGGCAGAACTAATCAATGGCAATAGAAGTTAAGACAGTGCTTTACTAAAAATACAAAAATAAATTAGCTGGGTGTGGTGGCGAATGCCTGTAGTCTCAGCTACCTGGGAGGCTGAGGTAGGAGAACTGCTTGAACCCGGGAGGCAGAGGTTGCAGTGAGCTGAGATCACACCACTGCACTCCAGCCTGGCACCTGGCGACATAGCGAGACTGTCTTAAAAAAAAAAAAAAGAAGAAGAAAAGAAAAAAGACAGTGGTTACCTTGGGGACTGGGTGAGGAGTGAATAGTTACTGGTGTTTGCAGGGTTCTAATTCTGGATCTGGTTGGTGGGTTGAGTGAGCGTGGACTGGGTGAGTTGAGTGAGAGTGCTCACTGTGTGAAGATTCACTAACTCCACATACACGTTTATGCATTTTTCTGAACCTATGTTCATGTTCTACTTCAATAAAAACGTTTAAAGGCCGGGCGCAGTGGCTCACGCCTGTAATCCCAGCATTTTGGAAGGCCGAGGCAGGTGGATCACAAGGTCAAGAGATCGAGACCATCCTGGCCATGGTGGAACCCCGTCTCTACTAAAAAGACAAAAATTAGCCGGGCGTGGTGGCACGCGCCTGTGGTCCCAGCTCCTCGGGAGGCTGCTGAGGTGAAAGAATCGCTTGAACCCAGGAGGCGGAGGTTGCAGTGAGCCGAGACTGCACCACTGCGATCCAACCTGGAGACAGAGCAAGACTCTGTCTTTAAAAAAAAAAAAAATCCTTTTAAGAAACGATGATGTTATATACCCAGATTTCCTTGGTTCAAATTCCCGCTCCTGGCTACATGACCTTAGCCAGATGGTCTACCTGTCCTGCTGTTAGGAAGGTTCATTGAGTTAAATCCTCAGAATGGTGTGTGGAGTAACATAGTGACTAGGATTAGCTATTAATCTGATGATGATGATAGTGGTGATGGTGGTGGTGATGACGGTGGTGACACAAGACTCCGAAATACCGAAGGGCTGTTCCTGTTGGTAACTACTATTATTATTACAACGTCATCATGGGTTAACCGAAATCAAAATAAAAATGCCCATGAAGGTGTGTGTGGTGCTTATAATTTAGAGAAAAGGCAAGTGTATGGGGCAAACCTGTGACCTCAACCTGCGCAGCTCTTTCTCAGCTCTGAGCCATATTCTCCACCTGCGGGAAGAGGGTAACCATACTCAGCCCACCTGGGGCTGGGGTGAAATACTACAGATAGGGCTTTTCTCACAAGGACAAGCACGTAGGCACGCAGTAAGTGTTCTTGGAGGGTCAACTACTGGGAACATCACTTTTATAAACCATTAATTCCCAGCCTTGACACTGGAAGAGTCAACTCCTGTGAGGGGACATGCTAAGGGACCATCATTTGCATACTGGCTAATTGGTCTTCCCCATCACAAACATAAGCCATCATGGGAGCCAGAATGGAAATCCCAGGCCTGGGCTGACGAGGACTGGAACTCTTTAAAATGGGAAAGGGGGCTGGGCATGATGGCTCATGCCTATAATCCCAGCACTTTGGGAGGCCAAGGCAGGATTACTTGAGCTCAGGAGTTCGAGACCAGCCTGGGCAACATAGCAAGGCCCTATCTCTACTAAAAAATAAATAAATAAGCCGGGTGTGGTGGTGTACACCGGTGGTTACAGGTACTTAGGAGGCTGGGGTGGGAGGATCGCTTGAGCCCGGGAGATTGAGGCTGCAGTGAGCAATGATTGTGCCATTGCACTCCAACCTGGGCAACAGAACAAGGCCATGCCTAAAAAAAAAAGTTAGGGAAAGACAGGGAGGAGGAGGATTACACCTTGATTTTCCCTAACTTTTCACTAAATTCAGCATTTCTTTCCATGGTGAATGTCGCTGGGAATGAAGCTCATTAGTGTTGGCAGCACCAGTTACTTTGTTAGCAACAGAAGGCACAGTTTCCTATTATTCCCCAGTTGTTGGAGACATCTTGAGGTATTATTTTTGCTTATCAAAATCTCAAAACTGCAGTAATTAGACCCAACTCGGGATCTTGTTATTTAACGTGCCAATAAGGCATATCATATAATATCACAAATATTCTCATAAAGTCTATTTTGATATAGTTTATTTCCATTGCTCTCTGTTTTTATTTTGTGCACTTAAAAAAATCTATTCTGAGAAGTCCATAGCCTTCATCAGATACCAAAGAGGTCCGTGGCACAAAAAGGCTAAGGATACTGGGGTGTAACCCAGAGTCGGGGTGCTGCCAAAGTGAGGTCCTGGAAGTATTCAAATACAAAGAAATGTGTTTCTATAATTTTCCATGAGGCACTTTCTCCAACTCCCTTTCGGGCTGGGTAGTTTTATGGGCAGAACTGTTCATTTTCCTAAGAAGACAAAGGCTTTGTATACAAAAGGGGGCAGAGCCCAGGATGGCTACGGGCCAGAGGTCAGATTCCAAAGTCAGGCAAATAAGCGAGGGTCTCTGTTTATACTCAGTGGAAATGTGGGGCTGGGGAAGGGCGAGGCGCAGGTGAGTTCCATGAAGAAGGGTTGGGGTAGGAAAGGGTTGTCCTGGACAGTGCTTTTTGTGTCACTGTTCATTTCAATACATGTGGTCACCTACTGGGTGCTGCGCCCTGAGCACAGAAAGGACACTGGTGTAGTCCTGCTCTCCTTCTCTACCCTGGGGCCCAGAGGTGCAGGGAGAGGGAGTAGGAGGCTTCAGGCTCTGGAGGCAGACTTATTGGCTTAGAATCCCAGCTCCTTACTTGTTGGCTCTGCGACTTTACTGTGTCTATGTCTTCATCTATAAAAGTAGAAGGGAGAAAAAGTACCTACCTGGTAGGTTTTGGCAATTATCAGAGCTAATCTACGCAGTGCAGTGGCCGGGAGGCTTAGTGCACATACAGTAAACATCAGTGGACATCATCATTCACCCACAACTGCAAGTCATCCCCAGGACTGGGAAGTCCCCAAAATTCCAAGTCCCTGTCCCTTGTAAAACTTCCCTGTCCTAAGTTCTCCTCTCTTAAAAGGCTGCTTTTCCTATAGCGCAAATAGATGGTAATGGATTATCCCACAAATGACTCTTTACTGAAGGTGTTCAGCCTGGCTTGCCCTTTCAGGAAGCAGGTTGAGGTTTCTCCAGGAAGTTGCTCAGAGGTAGCGTCCTTCCAGCCGTTTCGACGAAGGCCCATTGAATGTGCCCTAACCCAGCACTGACCCTCTCACTTCTCTTTTTGAGTCTGTGCAGCAGCGTGTTCATTGCCAAGTGCTGCCAGCAGAGCCTGGTGTTAGAACACCAAAGTGGACTTTTCAGTAAATACTTGTCATGTGCCTGTATCGGTCTATGCACACCACATTTTCATAGCCCTAGCTGTTTGGTTCTATAGTATAGGGGAGTAAAGAATGAATGATCCTATTTCTTAATTTGTCTATCTAATTTTAAACTGTATCCCATACCTACAATTGTGCTTGGCACAGGTAGATGCTCAGTAGGTTTATTTTATTATTTATTTTATTTTATTTTTGAGATAGCCTCACTCTGTTGCCCAGGATGGAGTGCAGTGGACATAATCTTGACTCTCTGAAACCTCCAGCTCCCAGGTTAAAGTGATTATCCTGCCTCAGCCCCCTGAGTAGATGGCACTATAGGCGTGCACTACCACACCTGACTAATTTTTTGTCTTTTTAGTAGAGATGGAGTTTTGCCACATTGGCCAGGCTGGTCTCAAACTCCTCACCTCAAGTGATCCATCTGCCTCGGCCTCCCAAAGTGCTGGGATTCCAAGTGTGAACCGCTGTTCCCGGCCTTCAGTAAGTATATTTTAATTTATTATTCAAATAGATGATATATCAATATAGTTTTTAAAAAGACAAACATAAAAAGATATCAAAAAGATTCTCCCTCCAGGCATTTAACCCCATCTACCCCACCCACCCAGTTACCAACCGAATTTCACTCCCACAGGTGACCACTATTTGTTGTTAAATGTCCTTCCTGGGTTTCTTTATGTACATCCAAAAAAGTATGTATATCCTTTTTTTTGAGACAGAGTCTTGCTCTGTTGGCCAGGCTGGAGTGCAGCGGTATGTAAACCATGCCTCACTGCACCCTTGACTTCCTGGGCTCAAGCAATCCTCCCACCTCAGCTTTTTGAGTAGCTGGGACTACAGGCTTTTTTTTTTTTTTTTTTTTTTTTGGTAGAGACTGTGGTCTCACTATGTTGCTCAGGCTGGTCTTGAACTCCCAGACTTAAGCAAACCTCCTGCCTCAGCCTCCCAAGGTGTTGAGATTACAGGCATGAGCTATTGTGCCCAGCCAAGTATGTATATTCTTATTTTCCTCACTTTCTTATGTAAAAGGAAGAGTATTAAAAAGCATTCTGCACCTTGCCTTGTAAAAAAAAAAATTCAACAGTAGGCCGGGCATGGTGGCTCATGCGTATAATTCCAGCATTTTGGGAGGCCGAGGCAGGTGGATCATGAGGTCAAGAGATCGAGACCATCCTGGTCAACAAGGTGAAACCCTGTCTCTACTAAAAATACAAAAATTAGCTGGGCATGGTGGTGTGTGCCTCTAGTCCCACCTACTCGGGAGGCTGAGGCAGGAGAACTG